GTGTGTGTGTGTGTGTGTGTCTGTGTGTGTGTGTGTGTGTGTGTGTGTGCGCGCGCGTGTGTGTGTGTGCACATACGAGTCCCCCCCCCCCCGGAGCCTGGCGCGGGGCGGGGCCGAGCCACAGCCTCCCAGGGCACCCCGCGCAAAAACCTCCTGTCGGCCGCCCTGGTCCGCGCAGTTTACAAGGTGTTACTCGGGGAAATTAAGGTCCGGTAATGACCTTTTAGGAGCGCGCGAGGGACCCACGCCCGACGCGGCGAGATAACGCCGAGGCACGTGGGCTGACCGGCGCCCACGTGGGTTGAACGGCGCCCACGTGGCTGCGCGCCGCCCCAGGGCTCCCTCGCCGCCGCTACGCACACACGCACACGGACGCACACAGGTCGAGGGGACGCACACACACACACGGACGCACACACACACAGACGCCACACACCCACGGACGCACACACGGATCACACACACGACGACGCACACACCGAGGGACGCACACACACACACGGACGCCACACACACACAGACGCACACACACACGGACGCACACAGGCCGGGGACGCACACACACACGGACGCACACACACACAGACGCCACACACACGGACGCACACAGGCCGAGGGACGCACACACACACGGACGCACACAGGCCGAGGGACGCACACACACACGGCCGCAACACAGCCGAGGGACGCACACACACACGGACGCACACGCCGAGGACGCACACACACGACGCACAACAGGTCCGAGGGACGCACACACACGGACGACACGCACACACACACGACGCAAACAGGCCGAGGGACTTACACAGGCCGAGGGACGCACACACACACGGACGCACACAGCCGAGGACGCACACACACACGACGCACACAGGTCGAGGACGCCACGGACGCACCACAGCCAGGGACGCACACACACACGGACGCAACAGGCCGAGGGACTGCACACACACACATGGACGCACACAGCCGAAGGACGCACACACACGCTGACGTATGTGCACGAATGCCTATTGGTTATACGAGTTTACACATATACATTGGACGCACTTCAGTTACAATATATTCGCATAAACGCACATCGGAGCATTCTAAGCATGCGCATGAACACGTACACACACACGCAAACACACGCACACACACACGGCACCACACACCGAGCGACGACCATAAATCTCAATCTATCCCCATGAAGTCACGGCGCAATTTTGTCATGAAAAGCGACAGCAATGACAACACGACGGCAATTTTTTCTTTTTTTTTTTTTTTTTTGGCTGAGTCATAGTCCAAAGTGGCGGGAGCTCGAGGAGGTATTTCAGATCGAGGTTCGAAATCACGGCGAGAGAACAACTTGGACGAGAGGGAGAGAGAGAGAGAGAGAGGGAGAGGAAGGAGGGAGGGAGGGAGGAGGAGAGAGAGAGAGAGAGAGAGAGAGAGGAGAGGGGGGGGAGGGAGAGAGGAGGAGGGAGGAGAGAGAGGAGAGAGGAGAGATAGAGAGGGAGAGAGGGAGAGAGAGAGAGAGGAGGAGAGGGAGGAAGGGAGGGAGGGAGGGAGAGAGAGAGAGGGAGAGGAGAGAGAGAAGAGGGGGAGAGAGAGAGAGAGAGAGAGAGAGAGAGAGAGAGGGAGGAGGGAGAGAGAGAGAAGAGAGAGAGAGAGAGAGAGAGAGAGAGAGAGAGAGAGAGGAGGAGGAGGGAGGGGGAGGGAGGGAGGGACGAGAGAGAAGGGAGAGAGGGAGGCGGAGGAGAGAGGAGAGAGAGAGAGAAAAGAGGGGAGGGAGGGAGGGGAGGGAGGAGAGGAGGAGGGAGGAGGGAGGGAGAGAGAGAGAGAGAGAGGAGAGAGAGACAGAGAGAGAGAGAGAGAGAGAGAGAGAGGGAGGAGGGAGGGAGGGAGGGAGGGGGAGGGGGAGGGAGGAGGGAAGGAGGGAGAGAGGGGAGGGAGGAGGGAGAGAGAGAGAGAGAGAGAGAGAGAGAGAGACAAATAGAGATTGAGAGAGAGAGAAACAATCAGGCAGACAGACAGAGAGAATAAGTGAGAGAGAGGGAGATAAAACTGTCAGAAATTGAAGAGAAGAGAGAGAGAGACAAAGAGAGCCAGACAGATAGAGATTAAGGGAGAGAAACAATCAGACAGACCGAGAGATTAAGAGAGAGGTGATAAACCGACAGAAACTGAGATAGAGAGAAAGGCAGAAAAAGCCACAGAAACGAGACAGACCGAGAGAACCCCCCCCCCCTACAGAAAGAAGACCAAAATGCCTGCTGAAAAGAGACTCGATACCAGCGACGGAATCGGACTGTCATTTAGGCGTGTCTTGGCCGCACAAGAGCCCGTGTCTGTGTCTGCGCAACTGCCCGCAATGAGAGCTCTCACTCTCTCTCTCTCTCTCTCTCTCTCTCTCTCTCTCTCTCTCTCTCTCTCTCTCTCCCTCTCTCTCTCTCTCTCTCTCTCTCTCTCTCTCTCTCTTCTCTCTCTCCTCTCTCTCTCTCTCTTCTCTCTCTCTCTCTCTCTCTCTCTCCTCCTCTCTCTCTCTCTCCTCTCTCTCTCTCCTCTCTCTCTCTCTTTATTTATCGATCTCTTGGCGACCGGAGACTGATGGACGGCTCGAACTACCGCGCAGATCTCTTGTATTGTTTGACGGCCAAAGTGCCAGGCCGGAGAGAGAAGAACTAAAGGGGTTTGTCTTTTTTTCTTTCTTCTTCTTTTCTTTCTTTGTTTCTTTATTTCTTGGGTTCCTCTTTTCTTCTTTGTTTCTTTATTTCTTGGGTTCTTTCTCTTTTCTTTCTTTTCTTCTTCTTTCTTTCTTTTCTTTATTTCTTGATTCTTTCTTTCTTTTCTTTCTTTGTTTCTTTATTTATTATTTCTTTCTTCTTTTTTTCTTTGTTTGTTTCTTTATTATTTCTTGATTTCTTTCTTGGGGTTTTTCTTTTCTTTCTTTGTTTCTTTATCTATTTCTTGATTTCTTTCTTGAGTTTTTCTTTTTTCTTTGTTTCTTTATTTATTTCTTGGTTTCTCTTTTTCTTTTCTTTTTTGTTTCTTTATCTATTTCTTGATTTCTTTCTTGAGTTTCTTCTTTTCTTTTGTTTCTTTATCTATTTTTTATTCTTTCTTTCTTTTCTTCTTTGTTTCTTTATCTATTTTTGATTCTTTCTTGAGTTCTTCCTTTCTTCGTTTCTTTCTTTCTCTCGTGATTTCTGTCTCGATTTCTCTCTTTCTTCCTTTCTCTCTTGGTTTGTTTCTTTCGTCTATTCTTTGTATGATTCTTTCTTTAGTCCTCTCCCCCATTCTCCCCTTCTTTCCTTCATCCTTCCTTCCTCCCTTTCTCTCTCACTTCTTTTCTTTCATCCATTCTTTCTATCTTTCTATGAAACGGAACGCTCACCCATGATAAACTCTTACTTGTTGCTCTTGAAGCCTGTTATTGGAAAAACGCCTTTATTGCACCTCAACAAGTAGTCCTTTCGTCGCATCCCAATCACTATATTTCCCCTTTTTTTCTCTCCTTCTTCGCTGATAACTTTCTCAACACAAAGCGAAAAGGCTTCTTTTCTCTCTCTCCTCCCCGAATACCCCTCTCCTCTCATATTCCTTTGTCTCTCGGCTCCTCCACGAGGAAGCTGCCCCCCCCCCACCCCCTCCTCACGTCAGATCCTCCGACGTGAGTATTACCACTCTAATGTGACGCCCCCAAAAAAGGCCGGAATATTAACATATTTATGATCGTGTTTACTTGCGCGGTGTTAAGAGCTGTAAGGAAAGTGTCGGGACGAGCGGCGGCGGCTCAGCGCACCTGGCCGGCTTACTCGCAAGGGAGGGATGCGGTCGCGACGTTATGGGCGGGCTCCGATGATTTCATTTCATGGTGGGAAACGGGCGGATGGGGAAAAAGGGAGGGGAGGAGGGGTGAAAGGGAGGATGGGGAAGGAGGGGAGGGATGGGAGAGGGAGGGTGAGGGATGGGAAAAGGGATGGGGGCAGCAGGGAGGGAGGGAAGGAGGGAGGGAAGCGGAAAAGGGGAAGGGAGGGAGGGGATGCGGCGGACGTTTTATGGGGCGAGGGGCTCACTGACCGATTTCATTTTGATGGTTGGGAACGCGAGGGATGGGGAAAGAGGGAGGAAGGGGAGGGGAAGGAGGGGAGGGGAAGGGGAAAAGGGAAGGGGAGGGAGGGATGCGCCGGCGGTTTATGGGGCGGGGGCTCCGATGATTTCATTATGATTGGTGGAACGCGAGGGAAGTGGTTAGGGATGGGAGGGGTGTGCAGGATGGGGAGGGAGGGGAGGATGGGAGGGGGTGAAGGGATGGGGAAAAGAGGGGGAGGGGGAAGAAGGGGGGGGGGAGGGGGAGGGGGAGGAGGGAAGCGGAGAAGGGAGGGCAAGAGGAGGAGGAGAAGGGTAGGGAAGGAGGGAAAGGAGGAAGAGGGGATGATGGTAGCGGAAAAGGAAGAAGAGGGATAAGGGAGAAGCGAAAAGGGGGAAAACAAGAGGAAGAAAGACGAGAATCTGAAAGGGGGATGATTAGGGGATGGCGAAAAAAACGAGACACAAGTAGCGGAAAAAAACTAACCATAGCAGCAGAACCACAAAATGTCTTTCCTTTTTGCAAAACTCAAAACCACAAAAAATAAGAAAAAAATCTGTACAAACCCCCCCCAAAAAAAAAAAAAAAAAATAATTAATAAAAATAAATGAAAAAAAATAAATCAATGATTAATAAACCAAATCCAGAATCCCCCCAGGAAAAACAGCCCGACCAACCCAAGCAAACCAAAGCAGACTCACTAACCCCAATACGCGACTATTATGGATTAGAAGATTTAGAATTTATAAAAATTTAGAAGCTGATTTCTTCATATCGTTTCTGTTAACGAATTAAAATACTGCTAAAGGAGACTGGACTGCAAGATTACGTTCCATTCTATCAGGCTGTTAAATTACATTTGTTTATGAAATACATATATATATGATAACTAAACCCGTTTCTTCCTCTCGCCCTTAGACATAGCCGTGGACGTCAGATGCCCCTACGGCTGCGAACAGTGCTCGCCCATCAACGGGTGTCTGGCCTGCAAACCGCCCTTCTTCCTTCTGCTGAGGCGCGACGGGCCCCGGCAGACGGCGACGTGCACGAGGGCGTGTCCCAGAGGCTTCTACAAGATCAAGAGAAAAAAGAAACGAGGATTCTGTGCAAGTAAGGTTTTGGTTTTGTGCAAGTAAGATTTTCTGGGGGGAGTAAGTTTTTTTTTTTCTTGTACAAGGAAGTTTTTTTTGCTAGTAAGTGGGAAGTAAGATTTTTCTGTACTGGGGTCAAGAGATAGAAAAATTTTTTTTCTTGTACAAGTAAGATTTTTTGTGCAAGATTATTATTTGGGAAAGTAAGATTTTTTTTCTTGTACAAGTAAGATTATTTCTTGTGGAAAGTAAGATTTTTTTGTGCAAGTAAGATTATTTCTTGGGAAAGTAAGATTTTTTTCTTGTACAAGTAAGATTTTTTTGTGTTCAAGTAAGATTATTCCTGAGGATTATTTTTTGCGAAAGTGATCTTTTTTCTGTTGATTGTCTGTTCCTATTTTATTTCATTTTTTCTTGTAGTTGTGGTTGTTAAAATAGTAGTTAACATAATGGTTATAGTAGAATTTGCAGCTGTAGTAGTCCTGGTAGAAGTAGTAATAGAAATAAAAGTCGTAGTTGTAGTAATAGTGACTATTAGTAGTGTGATAGCGGAAGTAGTAATAATAATACGATAATAGTAACGATAAGTAGTAGAATAGTAGCAGTATAGTAAGTAGTAGTAAGTAGTAGTAGTAGTAGTAGTAGTAGTAGTAGTAGTAGTAGTAGTGATAGTAGTAGTAGTAGTAGTAGTAGTAGTAGTAGTAGTAGTAGTAGTAGTAGTAGTAGTAGTAGTAGTAGTAGTAGTAGTAGTAGTAGCAGTAGTAGTATCGATAGAATTAGTGACAGTAGTAACAGTAGCAGTAGTAATAGCACATAGTAGTACTCGTAGTAGCAAGCAGTAGTAGTGACTGCAGTGTAAGGAAAAGCTGTATTAGTGGCATCAGTAACAGTACGAGTAAAAATACTAGTGCTTTGGCTATCGGTGCAGCTGTATCTTTCTAATAATCATTAAAAAAAGAAAATAGATAAAAAGGGAGACAGACGAAAACATCTGATCACCGAGGGAGCGGGGTAAAGCAGGTAATAAAAGAAAAGAAGAAGAGAGAGAAAAGAGGAATGAATTAGAGAACAAGAAAAATGACAAAATACTAAAAAAGAAAAATAAACAAAACAAAAAAACAAGAGAGACAGAAAAGAAATATAAAGTTAAGATAAAGGGAAAAAAAAAGAAAAAAATATAAACAATGAAAAAGAATATAAAAAAAGCAAAGAAGAAGAAAAAGAAAGAAAGAAAGAAGAAGAGAAGTAAAAGAATCAGATAAATGAGACTCGAGAACACCCAAAAGCTAATCATTCCCCTGTCCAATCAAAAGGCAGGTCACAGGCAGAGTAAAAACAGAAGAGAGACAAGAGATAAAGAGAGAGAATGAATGCCTGAGAGAGAGAGAGAGAGAGAGAGAGAGAGAGAGAGAGAGAGAGAGAGAAGCGAGCGAGAGCGAGAGAGAGAGAGAGAAGAGCGAGAAGAGAGAGAGAGGACAGGGAGACGTGAAGTAGGAGAGAAATAGAGTGAGACAGAGACATATAAACAAGAGAAGGAAAGAGAGAGAGAAAGGAGAGAAAAAAGAAAGAAAGAAGGATAGAGACAGAGCCAGAAAAAAAAATCGAAAGCTAGAAAAAAAAGACAAAAACAGAAAAAAAAAAATCGAGAGAATTGAAAACCAAAAGTCAAAAACAGCGACGAAAGAGACCCGAGATAGAGAGCAGGAGAAAAGCTCTTTCTTGCCCCGAGAACCGCCTCTCAGAACCGCTGCAAAGGATGACTCACAGCCCACAAGGAGTCAGGATTCCTCGCGGCCGCCCACCAAGACGAGCGAAGGAGGCAGAGGCGTGGGCGGGGACAAGACCCTGACGGTGAGTTTAGAGTGACGAAAGAGCCCGATGGAGATCACGGGTTAAAGAGGGAAGAGAGAGAGAGAGAGAGAAAGGATTTTAGAAACCTTATTTTTTCTTCTTCTTCTTCTTTTTTGTTTGTTTTGTTTGTTTTTGTTTTTAGAAGACTTTTTTTTCTTTATTTAGGAAGACCATTTTTTCTTTTTTTAGGACAATTTTCTTTTTTTTTTTAGGAAGACCATTTTTTTTTTTTTTTTTAGGGAGTGAGACCAACTTTTTTTTCCTTTTTTTATGGGGTGAGACTTTCTTTTATTGAACGAAACCAACTTTCCTTTCATTTTTAAGGTAGTGAGACAAAAAAAAATATTATTTAGAAGATTTTTTTATTATTATTTGGTGGGATAGGATTTAAAGAGAATATTGAGATTATAAATGGAAATAATTTCGAGAACAAATTATCATGATCTATTTTTCGAGATTAAAGACTGAAGGGAGATTGAAGTTTAAAAGGAAGAGGAAAAACAAAAAGTAATTTTTCGATTTTATTCCTTCTATGGCAATTTTTTTTTTTTTTTTCTTAGGCTAGAAGGAGAATTAATAAGGACTTTTCTCCTTATATAATATATATATATATATATATATATATATATATATATATATATATATATATATATATATATATATATATATATATATATATGTTTTATTTACTGTCTATCTTTGCTTCGTTATTTATTCATTTTCCTTCTCGTATGTTTTTGCTAATCATTTGCCTTCTCTTGTTTTAATTCTCGCTTTTATCTCTAGTTCTTTCTTTCTTTGTTAGTTTTTCTTCTTCTTCTTCTTCTTCTTCTTCTTCTTCTTCTTCTTCTTCTTCTTCTTCTTCTTCTTCTTCTTCTTCTTCTTCTTCTTCTTTCTTCTCTTCTTTCTTCTTCTTCTTCTTCTTCTTC